ACACTGTAAAGTGAATTGACTGTATATTTGTGGGCGAACGCGGCAGCCAATTGCGCACAGCAATGTCCCACAAACAGACGTAGATTGAAAATGACCAATTTATTATTGTTTTTGGAGGGATTATTATTAGGCGTGTGGAGTAAGGAAACTTGCTCAAGGTTTCACCCTGCCTGGAATTGAACTCAGGTCTCTCACTTGCAAAGCGAGTGCTCTAACCACTGAGCTACAGGACTCCACTGTAGCTCAGTGGTTAGAAGTAGTGGGACGGTCAAGCAGGGATAAGAGTCAGGGAGGACAGTAGGAGAGGAGGATCGAGCGAAAGTATTGGAGGGTAGAGGACAGGGCTGGGAGCATTATAGGGAAACAGCTCGATCGATGGTAGCAGCCAAAATACGCACTCCGAGACTAAGAGCGAACAGCAGGGGTGGGGGGGTGGGCAGCGAGGCATGGTCAGCCCGCTGGCATGGACTAAGAGTGACGTAAGGGTCTTTTGTCAATCCACTGAGAGCTACTTGAGCCTGGTGAGGATGAGGGTGATGTGTATGTAAAGATTTGTGCAGATAAGTGTGTGAGCGGTGGATGGAGTTTTATGAGAGCTGGAGCTTACGGATGGTGCAATTGGAAGGGAATTTGAGTCTAGAGATGACAAAGGTGAGGATGAAAGTTTCAACAGTTCTGGGAGTGAGATCAGAAGTGGGAGATGTGACAAAGTGGCAGTAAACGGGTGCTGGTCAGGGATCAGATGTGAGGAAGGAAAGAGATTTGACTTTTGTGCCGAATCCCAGCCAAGGTTACGTGCCGAGGTTGGTTCTGTGAGCTTGAGAGAGAAGCTGGGAACATTGAGCTTCCAAGCTGCCAGAGAGAGGCATTAACAGGAGCTGAAGAGCATGGCTTCAATCTTATCCATGTGATAGTAAAGCAAGTTAAGATTCATTCAGGCCTTGATCAAGGAGGCTGTCAGAAATCAGTAGACCTGGAATCAAGGTTGGAAGTAGAGATAGATTTGGATGTTAATTACGTTCATGTGGAAAGTAATCCCACTTTGACAAATGAAGTCACCAAGGGAAAGCATGTAGATGAGAGAAAAGAGAAGACTTAGGTACCATACACGTGGCCGTGTGAGAGAAGCTACTGGAGGAAACAAAGTGGAGGCGATGGGTCAAATAGGATTGGAACCAGGGAAGTGTGGTCCTGTGGAGGAGGATGATGAGACAGTACGTTCAGTATCCTAATAGATATATGTTTATCTAAATCTGCATATAGTATAGTGTATCCATGCATTTTTACTTCCTAGAAAATGACCAACTTCCATATTCCAGCACGCAACAAACTTTCTACACTCACAGGATATATGTTCACTGCTTTTTACAAGCACTAATTGCAAATTTGAAAACACAAACAGTAGGATTATTGCTGTTTTGAACAAGAATCAACTTTTAATGTATTTGGTTGAAAATCAACCTTGATGTTTTCAGGATTATCCAATTGCATTTCATGTAAATGTGCCTCGAGCTTGGTTAATTATAATTCCAAAGTGAAATAGTTTCCAGACTGTATAATCAAAACCTTTTTAACGTGGCAAACTCATATCTTGCCTGCGCTTAGTTTGACAAGCTAGGTTTTCAGGTTGATGACAATAAGAGCGAGATTTTCCACCTGGAACACTGTACAAATGGGTGTCAAGAAGCCAGAATTTGCAAGGTCACTTTAGTGTGTGTGTGTGTGAGTGTGGTGTGTGTATGTGTGTGTGTGTGTGTGTGTGTGTTGGGGGGAAGGGGGAAGAAGGGACATTGACTGTGCTCATCACCTTACGAAATTAAAACACAGAACCAGACAAAATGTGAAAAAGTACATTTAAGTATCCAGGCACGATTGAACTGGCTTTCCCTGGTTTTCCTATTTTACACATCACAGCTACATCTCGTCTGTGGGGAAAATTCTGCGATCTTGTTATGAGCATTGCTTGTATTAATTTATGCTGATGGAAACCATTACTTATGGCATTGTATCTCCTGGGAAGTAACTCGTCTTCTTTCAGAATATTTCTGGTATTATTCTGAAGCGAGGATGAGTGCTAATGTAAACTGTAGCACCCCCCCACTCCCAGGCAATAATCAAGTTTATGGCATTTGTATTTGAAAAGACGTGAAGAAAATTCTGACAATGTTTTTAGGCGAAATGCTCTCTCGAGTATGTGTTTTTCTATTCCGTCCAAAGATCCATTGCATAATCAGACCAGTGGAAAGGTAATTTGTTTTAAGGAAATGCCCAACTGTGCAACAACTGTGACAGCAGATGCTTGCATGGAATATTATCCTGAAGCAATGTAAAGTACCAGATTGATTAATGTTCCAAGGCAACAGAAATATTCTGCACACTTTTGTCATGTTTTCTGCACATCAGCTCCCTTATTCTCCTCTGTACACACCTCTGAGATTTAAAATCACAGACAAAGCCACAATCTCTTGGAAGAGGTTTTGAAAAAAAACAACAATTTAATTAATAGAATTAGTGCTTGTGATAATTTGCATTGTGGTGCTGCAGTTTATGTTCATTGTCTCCACTTTAATTAACTTTTTCGGGCTAAATGTCAACAAGACCAAGGCTCTTCTGCTTGGCTCCACAGTCAGCACCTTCTCACCTCAGGCACCGAACACATCGACCTGCACAGATGTTCTCTCCTCCTTACAGAGTCTGTGCAGAACCTGAGTCTCATTCGACCCCTAACTGTCCGACAAATTCTACATCCAGGATTTCATTCGCTCAGCTTTCCGTCACTTCCACAAGAACGCCCGCCTCCACCACTACCTCTCCCTACCCTCCTTCCCCCTAAGGCTACTGAGACCCTCATCCACATCTTCAACAAATCCAGGGCTTGATTATTCCAAAACCCTGCTTGCTGGACTGCTCAGCTCCTCCCTACACAAACCGTAGACTATCCAGAACTCTGCAACTCATGTCCTCTCCCACACCAGAATTTGCGAATGCATCACTCAATCCCTGCAGATCAAATTCAGAATCCTAGTCCTCACTTTTAAATGCCTCCACAGCGTAGCCTCAATCCATTTCTAAATCCTCCTATGGCCCAACCACTTTCTGCCCAAACACCGGTCGGCTTCATGTATCCTGCTGGTTTACCGCATCGTGGATTAGAGAGCTTTTAGCAATTCTGCCCCTGCTCTGTGCAATTCGTCCAGCCTCATTCCCTCCCCATCTTCAAAATCCACCTCACGACCTATCTTTATGACTGTGCTTGACATCACTTTCCCCACAGCCCACATCAGCTCCCCCCAACCCTCAGATGGGGTTCCCAGTCAGCATTGTGAAGTGCCCTGAGATATCCTTTCAATGTGAAATGAGCTACATAGATGTAAACTGTTGTTGCTGTTGTTGTAAAGAAACATCCAAAGATGGATCTTTGTGCTGACAGTAGGGGCAATCTAAAAATGTAAGCATGTTAGCTCTTCCAAAGAGACATCTGGAATAATTTACATCAACGACCTTGTATTCTTCAGATGCACTGCAATTTCATCCCGTTAACTACAAAGACATTTGTAGCTTTTTAGGAGTAAGGAAATGTGTGCAGACTAGATTATCAACACATAGAAATGTTTTGCTTGGGTTTCCTGAGTCCATTTACAATAAAAAATGTAAATCATGAAGTGTTCCTTTAATTTTCATTCTCACCTACTGAAATCCCATTGTGGCAGCAGTTTCTGCTGAAGGATTACTATTGTAATTTACTGTAATGGATCAGTCAGGAGACAAATTCTGCCTCTGTGATCAGGTACACAAACAATGCGCATTTGAGAAATTGTATTCTTATTGCTATTTTGCATGTAACCATTCATAAAAATATCAATTTTCTCCATTGGGAATTCCAATCCTCACAATAATACATGCACAAACAACAAACAGCCCACTTGCACTCGTCAGAAACACTCCTTTTAATTTTGATGATATGTAATTTCACTTAAAAAAACCAAGGGCAATATTACAGGCTGCTGGCCCTCATTTCTGCCCAAGTCTAAACTGTGAACATACAACAACATCTGTAGAAACCAGCAGGAAAACAGCCGGCAGAGAAGAAGGCAATAAAGGATATAATTTACAAACTGCTGTTTTTCACTTCTTGGTTCCACTTTTTCCAAAGCCATTACTTGAGTAAACAGCTGTTATTGTTGTTGGATTGTTGTTGAAGATTTTATTTTCTTATTACATATTTGTTTGTCATTATCAAGTGCTCTGGGGATGCTACCCTGTGTAAGGGGCGATATATATGTAAGTTGCTGTTTACAGATAGAGGGTAAATATTAATTTTCTTATTCATATTACTAAATTAAACACATTTTAATAAATTAACTGATTGATTTATTCATTTTAATGTTAATAGTATTAAAAGATTAATTATCTTGGGAATCCAGTTCTGGCGCACAATAAGTTGTGGGGTTTCTGTGTGTCGGTGCAACTCACTCTCAATTACTGGATAGATGGTTGTTGTCATAGTTGTATTTTAAATGATGACAGGATTTGATAAGATGGACTTTAACAGGCTGTTTCCACTTGCTTGTGGATCCGAAAGAAAAGACATAAATATAAGATAATCAGTAGCAGTTTTAAAGTGGAGTTTAGGAAGAACTTCTTTATCCAGAGGGCAGTGAGATTATGGAACTCACTGTCGGAATCTGCAGTTCAAGCAAAAAGCATCAAGGTATTTATAAGAAACTGATACATACATGAGGGAAAAGGGAATAGAGGGATATGTAGGAGGAGATTAGGAGGGGTGCAGTCTCATGTGGTCTATAAACAGTGACACGGACCAGTTGGGCAGAATGGCCTGATTCTGTGCTATCATAATCTATGTAATTCTAAGTAACATCATTATAATTTAATTGACTGAAATTTGCCCTGGAGCACCTAGATCTTAGTGGGATTCATGCAATTGTTGCAGTGCCACATAATTAGAATTGTTGCAGTAAGTAATGGAATATTTTACTTACCAAAGGTTCACAAGGAAAGGATGTTCAAGTCCTTGCATTATCTGCAGCTCCCTGAAAACATTCCGTACCTCATCCCGCTCAATGCATTTCTGTTTGTTCATATATTTCATAGCGTACATTTTCTTTGTATCTCTCTTCTGCACAATGCATACCTGATCAAGAGCAAGGAAGAAAAAGAATGTGGGGTAACTATTTTCATTCCCATCCAGATGATCCATCAATGAGAGTCTTTGATAATGTAAACAAATGTAAGCTATTTGACTTCGCAGAACCAGGCGATATAAGTTTGAAATTAAAATGCTCAACAGGGAACAAGAGATTATAAAATGCCCCCCGCATTCACCAATGGTGAATATATGAAACAGGGTAAAGTAGTTAATGCTACAAATATTACCTTCCTTCACACAAAAACTGAAAGCATATCTGCCAAAGAATGGTGACTGTTACAACAACAACAAAATAGCACCTTTCACGTGGGGAGGATATCCCAAGGTGCTGTTACAGCACAGAAAACAGCCCATTTGGCCCAACTTGTCTGTGCGGTATTTATACTCCACATGAGCCTCTGCCTTTCCTAATTAATACTAATGATAATAATCCTTCCATTTGATATAGCACCTTATCACATCTTCGAGACTTCTCAAAACGCTTCACAGTAAAGTGAATTGACTGTATATTTTGTGGGCGAAACACAGCAGTCAATTGCGCACAGCAGTGTCCCACAAACAGTCGTGGATTGAGATGACCAATTTAACTTTTTTTTAAGGAATTATTATCCCCAGAAAAGCAATCTGCCAACTGACTAACAACCGGGTTCCTACCTACTGCTAGGTAAACAGAGGCGTGTGGAGTAAGGAAACTTGCCCAATATTTCGCTGTGCCGGGAATCTAACCCAGAAAGGAGACACAAAANCCACAGACACAGCAAAATCAGTATTAAAAAAAAGTACATGGACTTTCATCCAATGATACCAAATCAATACTTTTTAATAAGATGTTGATCAGCACTACACAGTATAACATCACAATATCTTACATTCGATATAGGACTTTTCGTGTCAGGAGGACATCTTAACGCGCTTCGCAGAATTAATGTAACGTGTAGTGACCATATGTGTCATCAAATGCAGAAGCCAATTTGCCCACAGCAAAGTCCCACAACCAGCCAGGAAGAGAATGACCAATTCAATTTAACTGAAGGATTTATTGGCCAAGACACCAGGAGAAATTTCCTTCTCTTTTCAAATAGTGTCATTGGTATTTTAACATCGGACAGACAAGTTCAATATCTCATCTGAAGGATAGCATCTCCAGCAATACAGCTCTCCCACAAGATTGCATTGAAGTGTCAATTTAGACCATAACCTTAAACTGCTCAACATGGGACTTGAACCCACAAATGTCTGACGTGAAGGCAAGCATGCTACCAAAACAGGCTGTTTTTCATTACATGGTAACTGATGTTTTGCCATTATCCATTAGGTAGACTAAAGAACTATTTACAACATCAATGTAGCAACAAATCTTTTATTATAATTAAATGTCAGTCATTAATATTGAACAGCGTGAATTCCCAAAGCACACTGTGATTGCAGCTTCACTTCTCTGGAGGAACATGAATTAAAACTGACAATCCCATTAGACTTATTTTACTCTCTACCAGGAAAAAAATTATCTGGAAGATGAGCCCATATTGGCTAAAACAATTCTTTGCTTTTCCCCAATGAATTTTTAAGTGAAATGTCTAAATATTTTCCGATCGTTGATAAATTTATAATGTACTGTTCCTATTCCAGTCAATTACCTGAAGTATGACTGATGCTGGCCTCCAGGCAGAGAGAATTGTTTACACAACATTATTTGCCTCAGTTTTCAGTTTGGAAATATCAATCGTTGACATAAATGCCATTGAAAGAAAGCAGTTATGACAATAACAATAACATAATAATAATCCTTGCCCAGTATACACTGTAATGTGGATTGAATATGTATTTTGTATTACAATGGCAGCAAATCCTTGCATTTGTATTAGCAACCTTTACGTCAGGAGGGTGTCGCAAAGCTCTTCACAGGATATGCTGTAAAGTGTAATCATTGTAATTTGTAAGCAAACTTGGCAGTCAATTTGCACACAGCAATGTCATACCAACAGCTGTGAAGTGAATAGCCAGTGTTATTTGGGGGAATTGTTGGTCAGGATAAAGGGAGAAACTCCCTTCTCTTTTCTATTAGCGCTGTGGGAAACTTCAATGCAGATGGGACTTTGGTTTAACGTCACATCTGAAGGCGGCATCGCTGACAGTACAGCACTGCAATTTTGTGTCATTTTGGACTAATTGAGTTCAAAGGCCTGATGAAGGGCTTGATACCATAACCTTTTGCCTCAGAAGCGTGAGTGCTACCAATTGATCGTAACAATACCGGTAACTGATTTCTGCCCCTAATTGATATATGATGGGAAGCATTGTCTACTACCTATGTATGGAAGGGAATTCAGAGCAGGACAAAGCCATGGTAACGAACGCCAAAGAGTAGAAACTATAATTGCAGGAGTCAAATTATATGGCAGAGAGGAAACTTAAATGGATGTCCATTGTGCAAATTCATACTATGATTTTGTTTCAATTATCTTTTTGAAAGTTTACATTTGCGCCCACAAAATATACAGTCAATTTAATTTGCAGTATATTCTGTGAAGCACTTTGAGATGTTTCGAAGACGCGATAAGGCGCTATATAAAATGCAACATTATTATTGTTATTATTTTATCATTTCTTTTCTGGGGCCTCATCGACACTAAATAACTATTTTTTTTTAAATTACTGATGCACATCAGCAGTTTATATTATTTGTGCGAGACTCGCTCAGAATTGAAGACAAGATATTGCAGTTGGATTAGGTATTTTTTTCTCAAGCCTGCAGAGGTTCTTGCTAATCCATTTGCTTCAACTAAAATGACACAGTCTGAAACTGAAGGATGAAAAAAGGTCACACAAAGGACACTTAGAAGCTACAGACACGGCAAAATCAGTGTAAGAATCTTGCGTGCAAATTTTCATCTAATAGTACCAAATCAATAGTTTTTCTGACATGTTGACAGATACTATCTAGGATGATTATTATTTGATCTACTTTCTGTCAGGCAGCAGTGGTCCTGGAGTCAAGGGTGGAGATAGAGAGATACAGTTAGATATCATCCACATACATGTGGAAGTAGATCCAATGTCTGCAGTTGATATCACCAAGAGGGAGCATATAGATATTGGAGAGGAGGGGACCAAGGACAGAGCCCTGAGGAACGCCACATGAGACGGTCCAGGGGCTAGAGAAGAAGCCGTTTGAGGAGATAAAGTGCAGGCGATATGAGAGATACGATCTGAACAGGTCAAGGAGAGAGCTGTGAAGGTTGAGGTGAGAGGAGAGGCGGTGGATGAGGATAGAATGGCCAATGGTGTCGAAGGCAGTGGAGAGGTCAAGGAGGCAGAGGGAGCCCTGGTCGCAGATGGACAAAATGTCATTTGCCACTTTGACCTTTTTTCACTCCTTCAGTTTCAGACTGTGTCATTTTAGTTGAAGCAAATGGGCGGCACAGAAGCCCGATTGGAGGAGTTCGTGAAGGGAGTGGCGGGAGATGAAAGAGCGAAGCTGGGAAGCAACAACTCATTCCAGGACCTTGGAAAGAAAAGGGCATGAGGGACAAATGGAAGGCCAGAGCCAGCCACACGGAGGCAGAGAGTGGTGAAGTGGGGGTAAGCAGGTCGTAGAGGTAGGGAGGTGTGAAGGCATGAAGTGACTTGAAAATGAGTGAGAGGATCTTGATATTGATCCGTTCGGTGATTGGGAGCCAGTGGAGTCTGACAAGGATTGGTGTGATGTCTATCATCAGCGAGTTTATTTAATCTAACAAAAACAATAAATTACATTTGTATAGCGCCTTTCGCATTAGGAGGACCCTAACCGTAATAGTGCATTCTTACATTTAGCAAAATATAAACCAAAGATAGCTTTCTAGTTCTCTATTATAATACAAAATACATAATATAATGATTATTTTGCTTTTAGTTTTGTGAGTTTTTATAACGATTAAAATATATTTGATGTGTGGCATGACATGTGCAGAGGTTGTGCATGCTTGTAACATGTGTAAAGAATAAAAAAATCTGTTTGCTCAAGCTTTTTAAATACAGTTCAGAGATCATACCACTGATCTAAAATTTAATCAAAGTCCATCGCAGATTATTTTTCAATAAACTTGTGGTAACTGTTAATCCTCTTGGAGAAATATGAAAACTGCAAAAGCCGGAAATTAAGAAACAAAAAACAGAAATCTTGAGGCTAAAGGGCAGGTCAAGCGGCACGTGAAAGAGAAAGAAAAGCTGACATAATACAGAGTGTTGCCCTACATCAGAACCAGCTGAGTTGTTCTGCTAAAAGGCTTTGCCCAAAACGTCAACTTGCCTTTCCGTCTTACTCTTTGGATCATTAATCTTCGTGTTTAAATGCCATCACACATCAACAACAAGGAGTGCACTTTAAGCTGGCATCACACGCAGCCCACTGCTGTCAGCACGAAGACTCAGAAAGGGATCCAACGAAACAGTATGTTACTACTTTTATATGACTATACCAGAGGTACTAAGAGCTGCACTCAAGTGGCGGTGACACTTGACAGAGCCACCAGATTGTTTACTTAAAAATCCTGGCAAGTCTGTCTTTTCCTTCTGTACATGGGCAAAAAGGCTTCATTGTGGTAAGCAAGCTATAATAATCCTTGCATTTGATATATCACCTTATCACATCTTCAAGAGATCTCAAAGTGCTTCACAGTTCTCTAAAGTGAATTGACCGTATATTTTGTAGGTGAAACACAGCAGCAAATTGCGACAGCAGTGTCCCACAAATAGGCGTGGATTGAATGACCAATTTATTATTATTACTATTATTGAAGGAATTATTATCCCCGGAAAAGGGATTCACCAATCAACTAAAAAACAGGTTCCTACTTACTGCTAAATAAACAGAGGTGTATGGAGTAAGGAAACGTTTTGCCCTGCTGGGAATCAAACATTGGTCTCTCACTTGCAAGGCAAATTCTCTAACCACTGAGCTACAGGACTATAATAGAGAATTACATAGCTTTTATAGACTGTTA